CCGATCAACCAAAGTCATCCCGTTCCTGCTTTGACTCATCCAATTCTCCGTCCAAGGACAACGACGAGACTTCACCTTAGAATACGAATTCCGTCGCGATCGATAATGGATGACTCACGCAGCACAGTGATTAGTATATAGTTGACGCTAATTGATGTGTACACGATGATTGACAAGTAACTCCGAGACCAAAGTAACGGTAACGATGACCCCAGCTGTGTGAAAAACTTGCTCCGAACGCAAAAAAATTTGCCAACTTGCTTAGATCGGCTGTCGCAAAAACAACCTGGGTCATCCTTTTAGAAGTGATTTATTCGAGTTTTTAAAATAATAATTTTACATCATTGACGATGTTTCATCAATAGATTGCAATACGTTGAAAGTCCGTATGTCTGTCAATGAGAAAAATTCTATCGCGCGGCGATACAAAACTCGGAGTAACGTTCAACCGGCGTCGCTACTTTTTGATCACGGTCGTCCTTCATCGATTGGACAAGCTATAAGTCCACTTTTCGTAGCACGGTCAAAGGTAAACCTGAAATTTTCCTTAAACTGTGGATCAGTATGCGTGTTCGAGGATGGCGTCCGATTGACTCGCAACGGTGCTCATTAAGACCGGGCTTGATTTGCGTGACAGACAGATTTAATTAAACACGAGTTAACGATTCGCCGCCGCCTCTCGGTTCTCGCGGTTGTAATACGAACAAAGGTAATACGTTATTAATCGTGCCAAGGTGGTGAATGACGCGTTAAAAGTCAAAGCGTGTTTAAATGCACGCTTTGAAACTTTAAAATCAAAGTCACGGTTACAATGAAACTCAAGTACGCTTCAACGAAAGATCGTCCTTAATTCCTATGACTTTGATTTCTACAAGTTTTTTCTCAGACAAAACTATCTCTCTACACTCAAGAAAAATATAGTGATAACTCCGTTAGAAAATATGGAGATGACAATCATACAAGTTTTATTGTATATTATGTAGAATTAATGTACCACATTTGCATGTTACTATTACTCGAGTAACATTCGTAGTTATTAATTGCTGATGTAAAATGCTGTAGAATCGCTAGTTTATGGTATTTGACCTTTCAGAGTCAGAGAGCCATTGGGCAGCAGAAATATTAGTTAAATCCAATTTTAAAGTACCAGTTGTTAAAACCAGATTTAACTAGCGTTTATACGACAGTTTACGTTAGCATTAATAATAACTACGGATATTGCCAAATCCGATTAATAATTATGTGTAAACGTATCATATTATATATGTATATATAGTTAAGTAATTATTTTATAGTTATTGTGACCATAAAATAGTTTATTCAACTATGTACATTAATTCTACATAAAACTTCTAGATATAAATATTAAAATATATAGTTACACACATATATTAATATACTTATAGTTATACACACATATATATATATATATATATAAGTTTATAATATACTATACTTATAGATATAAAACTATACAGTTGTATAATTGTCACCACTATATGGTTACCACTAGTACATATTTACTTTTCTTTAAATATAACGTATAGTATACGCGATTATTTCAGATGCTTCTATTGAGAAGTTGAATTGTTGAAGAAGACGAAGCTTTATTCGGAATTAAATATGGCCGACTGTCGATCGTTACTCTTTTATTTCACGTCCGAACTTGCACAATATGTACGTGAAAGGGGAGAAAGATAAAGTCTAGCGTTGAATGTATGATGAGAAACCGGGCCTACGGTTCTAGATACGAAAATGGAACATCTTGGATCGCGTTTCTATCGAGTGCGACGTGGATTATAAATTCCTGTTTAACTTGAAGACAACAGACGTTACGTGATTGCAGAGAGAAATCGCAATATTTATTATCTCGAGTACATTTTATTTTACAATTGTACCTCTATCATGTGGATTTTGTCCATAGATTAGATTGCTCGTTCGACGATAATAACCGTACGATTTTCGTAGTTTGCTCAACGAAGTTTTGATATTGCATTGTTTGGAACTGTCTGAACTCTTGGAAGTTTTGAAGATCTTTTAGACCAATTTCTACCAACGTAGATTAACTTCAATCTCAGTTTAATTTATTTTTTATCTGTTTCTAATTCTTAGAACTAAAAGAAGATAAAACGTAAGTTATACCAAAATAAAAGTTAATCTACATTAATAAAAATAGACATTAATGTAACTTTTTAGCCATGCTATTGTGAATAAGAGCGTAATTCTAAAATGACTGTAAACGCAAGTATGTAAAATTAGATTTAATATGAGATTCTTATTGTTTAGATTTAATATCTTTTATATATAGATTTCATTTTTTCATTACTATTTTATTAAATGTACGTTATACATTTCGCAAATTATACAAAGATTAACAAGAAAATTTAAAAAATGGGCATTGGTGTACTTTTATGCAATTATTTATTAAATTTTATTGATTTAACGGAGTAACTTTTCTACTTTTAGTTTCTCCTCTGTGAGAATCTGCAGCCTGAATCTTCTCATTTTAATTATTATCGTGATAATTGAAATTATAGGAAGTCAAACAATCCGAGACAAACGAAAATGCAGATATAAATCAGTCTTTTGCGCAATAGATATTTTTTGTTTATACGGAGATAACATTTGTAGTTTTATCGCGTAAGAATGTTAAACTGATATCGCGTCGGGTATTTGCTTTTTCGACGTGATTTCGAGCTGTAAACTGAAAACTTTGTGCCGCGATTCGTGTTTACGGACACACATAAATAGCGGGTTTCGTACGATCTTTCTTCGCGAGCCAGTAATATTTATGATTCTACCCCTCGATGTGTCTGTCAGAACGAAACATCCACAATTCGAAGGGAGCAACGCTTTGAAGAAACTTCCGGGCGATGAAACCGAAAGTTTGATTTTCATGTAAGTAACACGTGTTGATCACGCACAAAATGTAACACGCGATCGCGCATTAAACGTGAGAAAGTGAATGACAATAGATCTTTCTTTTCTCCCTCCCCAGAGCAGTGATGAGTAAGATACTTTTAAAATGATACATAAATTAAAATGTATGTAGCTACAGATTACCTGTCAGATACTTCAAAAGTATCTCATATATACATATCAAATCTATACCTGTTTCACGATGTTGATGCAATATTCGTAATGTTGCGATTCAACATTTCTGAGATATTGATTCAACATTAATGTGTTTGTATGGGAAATGTATATAAGGCCAATGACTGCGTTTAGCTGAGAAAGCAACTTTGCAACTGTTGTAAAATTCTTTAATACGATTACTTCTTATCTTTGATTCCTTATGGATCTAAATATATAAATCAATCATATCGAAGAATTTTATAACACTTGAAAAGTTACTTTCTCTGTTGAACGTTACAGTCAATGTCGCAAGCGTGCTTCCTGGACGGCCCGAACGTTACTTGTGTACGCAAATCTATAAGGCACTTAATAATTAGATAAAAAGTGAAAAACATGTTTCTTTTGAAGAATATATTTTTTCACATTCTGAAAAATATTAGTATAGATTTAATATCATGCGATCTACATAATTCTTAACATGTTAGGTAATGGTAATTAATATTAACAACATGGTGTGGATTTAAAATTCCAGTACCCAGATTCTATAATTCTTAACGACAATTCAGTATCATTATGTTGTTGCACATTTATTTAGATACATGTACCTATAAGATAGCATATCCAACATTGTCCCGGAATGTGTTTCGTTTGAGAGAGCTACTTTCATTTAAGGAAGGAATAAGATAAAAGAAACGGAGGAGGATTTTATCTCTACGGAAACTATCTTTGAGATGTAAAGGGACAGTTTTTAAATTACCTTTGAAATATAAAGGATGATCTTTAAGTAAATGTGCGACGGGTATATCAATAGATGTTTCTTCGTGTGTCACAGCGGATGGATTTGAAATTTTAACGATAAGATTCAGTAATGAGTGAACGGAAAGTTTTCAAGCGGAGGCGTCAGTGGGGCGTTTATTAACGTAATTTGCGGTTTGTTGAATATATCTCGTGGCAAGGCGTCGCTTTCTAGGTCGCTTTAATGAGAGTTATCGACACTGACGGGACGCGTTCTAAAAAAGTTTAGTCGATAATGCTGCAACTGTGCATCCTCGCGAGTCACGGCATGCTGCGCCCATCGCAAGTCCATCGCACACGCTCCTTTGGCATAGTTCTAATCAATCTTTATTTCCCAGAATTCGGTAATTTGGAAGTTTACAATTTCATTATTCCATTATTTCTTCATAATTTAATTTATTTATAATAATAGAATAGAATAGACTTATATAACATAATATAGCCATGTTATGTTAATAATAATAGATATTAGAATAATATATATATATAATAACTCAGATATTCTGTAGTAAATGATGATTGAAATAATAACGTCTTTCATATCGACCTTCACATTGTTTCTGTTTACGGTTGTTAACTTGGCATCAATCTTTTGAATATTGACATTTCAAAGTGTTAATTATGCATGCATCGATCGTCTCTATCAGCGTTTGGTATTTAAAGTTACATTATCATTTGATGTTTTTCGAATATTTCTGTTATATTATTTTGTTAG